TCCTCTCCTCTATCCCTCTTCTATCCGCCTCCCACTCTCTCCCTATTTATTTCAGAACCCCCTTTTCTAATGAAGGGTCTAGGCCCGAAACGTCAGCCTCTCTGCTCCTATGATGCTGCTTGGCCTGCTGTGTTCATCCAGCCCTGCACCTTGTTGTCTCGGATTCTCCAGCATCTGCAGTTCCTACTATCTCTGATTCAATTGGCCCATGCTGCTGTTTATGCTCACCATTAGCCTCCATTCATTATATATTTCGCTATTGGCATTTTGTCCCATTTATTTTTGCATCATGTGTTTATCTATTATCCCTTTAAATGCATCTATGCTATTCGCCAAAACTACTCCTTACGCTAATAAGTTCCATATACTCGTAACTCTCTGGATAAATAAGTTTCTCTAGAGTCCCTTACTGGATTTATGAAGGACTAGTGACCTTCTAGCTATGACCCTTACTTCTGGACTCATCCATAGTGAAAACATCTTTAAATCTGTCTTGTCAAACATTTAATAATTTTAGATGATTATTTAGCTATCATTCAGCCTCCTCTTTTCTACAGACCAGAAACCCACCAATTCACACTTTCAATTTTCTTATAACCCCTGTAATCCAATAAATAATTTTGGAAATCTTTCTGGCATCTTGTCCGAAATGTCTTCCATGCTCATCTTACAAGATCTTGAGTTATCCCAAAGTCTGTCTCAGTCAAATAAATCTGTCCCATATAGGGAAACATTGCAGCCAATTCACACATATCAAAGTCCCAAAAATAGCAATGAGATAAATGACCATTTAATTCAGTTTTTTTTTTAGTTTTAGTGGTGCTTGGTGAGAAGTGAAGATGAGGAAGTCAATGAAGTATACCACAATGAGTTAAAAACTACAAAAACGTGTGTGTCTGAAAGGGAAATAGGAGGGTGTGGGAGGGCTAGAATTTAAAATTTTGTAGTTACAACAACGTTTTCATTATTCATCCAGCTCAACAAATAACCCAAAGACTTTTTGTTTTAAACTTCAAGTATTTCACACTGATGCCCACAGTTTTCATTATCGTACTGTACTTCCTTGACCATTTCATTAACAATAACATGGATGCATGCTTTATGCACAATTATTTTCAAACACAATTATGAAGAATAAACCATTGTGGTAATGTAATTATTTGGTTCTTCCTGGTTGATTTATTTAAATGCTGATTTTTTTTTCCTAATTCTTCAAAAACTTATCTTCAGTTAAACTGCAAAACATCATATTACTTTACATAACTTGTCATAAGAACACACGAATTAGAAGGGGTATCCCCCACTCAGCCCCTCAGGCCTGCTCTGATATTCAACACAATCATGACTGATCTGACCGTGGCCTTAACTCCACTTTCTGGTCTGCCTCCCCAAAACCCTTAATTGCCTTGTAAATCAAAAATCAATCTGAAATGTGTGCCAGACAATCAATTTCCATAACTTTGTTCACTTATGAAAAAGGAAATGGATCATCCTGTAGTTGTTAGCTCTTAACAAAGAACGTCTAACAATATTCTTAAAAATATAGGATCAGGGACTACAACCACGTAGGGAGACTAGAAAAGCTGGGATTGTTTATCTACTGACAAAGGAAGTTAAGGCGAGATTTATACAGTCAGAGTCACACAGCATAGAAACGGACCATTAGGTCCAATTCTTCCATGCTGACCAAGTTACCCAAACTTGCCTGTGTTTGGCCCATATCCCTCTAAACCTTTCCTACTCATGTACTGAACCAAATGTCTTTTAAATGTCGTATCTGGATCTACCACTTCCTCTGGCAGTTCATTCCGCACATGAACCACTCTCGTGTTAAAAAAAAAATTGCCTCTCATGCCCTTTTTACATCTTTCTCATCTCACCTTAAAAATATTCCGCCTTGTTTTGAACTCCCCTAACCTAGGAAAAAGACTTTTGCCATTCACCTTATCTATGCCCCTCATGATTTTATTAACCTCAATAAGGTCACCACTCAACCTCCTACGGTCCATTGAAAGAAGTCCCAGCTTATCCAGTCTCTCCTTCTAACTCAAACCCTCCATTCCCAGCAACATACCGGTAAATCTTTTCTGAATCCTTTCCAATTTAATGATATCATTCCTATGTAGGGTGAGCAGAATTGTACACAGTACTCCAGAAGTGGCCTCACCAATGTCTGTCCAAGCTCAACATGATGTCGCAACTCCTACATTCATTGGGCTGAGTAATAAAGGCAAATGTGCTAAATGCTTTCTTAACCACCCTATTTACCTGACATGCAACTTTCAAAGAAGGTAACCGAACCCCGAGTTGTCTGTTCAAAAATACCACCCAGGGCCCTACAATTAACTGTACAAGTCCTGCCCTTGTTTGCTTTACCAAAATGCATTGATGAATTAACTCAGGTATGACAAAAATTATGTAATTTTACTTACCAAGTAAACAACTTTCTGAAAGAAAGCTGTGTTGTCCAAGATTTTGTGCATCGTTACAGTTTCTAACTCATCAGGATCCAACTGCTCTCTCTGGTAAGGCATGCCATTGTAAAGGGCAATAGGCAGAGGGCCCAGGCCTGACTGCTTATAGTAATCTTTGCATTCCTAACAAAGAAAAACAAAAGTAACAGAAACACGGCTCAGCGCAGATCACTGTTTCTACATTTCCTTACATTAAACAATTACCTGCTAAATAACTTGACATAATTGCAACTTGTAGTAATGTTATCAAGTTTGGGTTAATAGCAACTTCAGATTTAATTTGATAAATGTAGAAACAATTTGTGACAAACTTTAGAACTTCAAACCCATATTAATCTTGATTTGCATTTTCATAAAATATTTACTAAATTGTAATTTTTGTTGTCATAAAATTACTTTTTTAAGGAGTGAATTGCTAAACACTGATAACCATGTTTTAAGGACTGGCAAAATGCACGTCAATTTGAACAATATTAAGAAGAAATATTAAGCTAAATTAAGTGATAAATCACTCACTTGACACACAGTTTGAATCCAATGCACAAAATTACTTCTTTTCAATCTTTATTATTCTGCTTGAATGGTTTTCTTTCAGAAAATATGCAGTCACTTGAATTACAGAACAGCTACAATAGTTTTGCATACCTTTCAGCATTGTGAAAATTACAGAACTTAAAAGGATAGAGCTAAAGATAACTTATTCTGCTTCATTCACTCTAGAATAGTTACTAAAACACCACATACAAAATGCTAACATGAAAATTTTCGACTGTTCTCAGTTCAAGGTGAAATGAAATGAAGAACATAATTACTGGAGCAGGACATTCAGACCATCAAGTTTGCTCAGTCGTTTTATTTGATCAGAGCTGATTTGTAGTTTAACTTCATTTCGTGTCTTTTTCCTATGTTACTCGAGGCTCTATCTAAAATAACGTGCAATCTTGAAACTTAGACTTGACCCAACATCCATGTACCTTTGGGGGAAACATGGTGTTCTGATTTCTACTAATATTCAGAAAAATTGATTCCTGGTTTCAAACATGAACAGTTTGGCTCGAATTGTAACAGTGCACTCCCTCACTCTGAATTTCCCCAACATAGCAGTTTCAATGTAATGACTTTATCAGATTCTTTCATAATTTTAAAGACTTTGATTATCAACCACTTTCCAAATGTAGATCTAGCTGCAAACAGCTGATTTCAGTTTTTGTTTGCCAATTTCTATTTAACGATGGTGAAATCAGCCTTCTCCCCCGATTAGATACCTAATTTTTGAACTGACCTCATCCCTTTCAATAATAACTTTGAAAGTTAAAGGTCACTATTCCCAAACTGCTCACCCACTGAAACTTCAACCACTTGAGGTGATTCACCCTCCTCCGGCAGGTCACTACACAAGCAGTTGTGGTCAAAATTCCTGCAAATATTTCAAATATGGTGTACACAACCTTGAAATTCTCCCAGAATTCTGTGTTCTGAAGAAGCGTCACTGGACATGGAATGTTGACTCTGCTTTCTCTGCACAGATGTTGCCAGACCTGCTGAGTTTCTCCAGCAATTTGTTTCTGTTTGTTTCAGATTTCCAACATCCACAATTCTTCGTTTTAATTATTCGAAATTTTCCCAACTGTTAAGATTATTTAATTGATGAATTTTGATCTACTTATTTTGAATTAAACACCTTATTTTTCAGTTATAATTCTTTTAGGGCATCATGGAAGTGCTCCTTCTCCTCGATGTCAGCTGTTTGTAAGGGACAGTTCAGGTAACACATTTTTGTACTCATGCAGTAGTTCTCCAAAACTTGTTATTTTTAGATCAACAGTACTGATGCTGAAGAGTGTTTTCTGCTGCTTTACATAAACAGATTTACAATTTTAAGGCAACAAGTGCATATTCGCTTGACTACCAGACGATGGAATTGTCCACTTTCAGCTACAAATCAAAGAAAATCTAAAGGCTTGGAATTTACAAAGAGTGGGGTTGCAACTGTTCACCCCATTCCCCCCTCCCACCCAGAAGGGAGGCTGACGGTTGACTGGCACTTGATGCACCCTAGAAGATGTCAACCTCACAGCCATGACGTACTTGGAGCCAGCCAAACTAGCTCAGACTGTTCTTCCTGCTCCACCATGATTGGAGGTCCCATCCTAGAAAGCTGGTTAAAACCTAGACAGGAGTGGCAGTAACGGATTTGACTAGGGGGACGGGGTTAGTGGATCTTGGGGATGTTCCCCCAGTGCACACAAGAAATGGAATTGTGACCCCACTCTTTCCTTCCCACCTTTAAAGCAGTCCACTTAAATCAAACGGCATGTCCTTTTGTGCCTGTCCATGCACACCAACCAGATTATGGCATGGATACTACATTATTGAGTCATCTGGCTTGGCACCAAATTCAACTGACCTGATTAATTATTTAAACATGGTGGACAGGCTGTTAATTTTGATGCCAACCTATCTGCTGTACTATGAGGTACAGTTCAGGAGTGAGCATGATGCTGACACCCTACTTCTGCAAACCCAACAAACACAGGCTCAAGGATTTAACCCCATATATTGAAATCAACTTAACTGAGAAACAGAGTTCATAACTCTCACGAATTAACAAGTCTCACCTTACGGTTTCTGTCATATGCTGAATTAGGTCCCAGAATACTGGTCACCTCTACGTTCGAAAAGTCCTTCTCCAAGACGCCAATGATGTGTTCAATTGCCAGCTTTTCACCTTCCTTTACCTTGCTGTATATCTTAAAGAAAATAAAAAGACTATGGATAAAACTCAGGATTACAAAAACGAAACTACTGATCTACTTATACTGCTCCTTTGCCACTAAACATCAACCACATCAACACGGAGCATTTACAATTTATCCCATGAAACATTTCACACAGCACACCTAACCTCCAATAAGATAAAATTCCAGGAGCCAAACTTTATCATACAAACTACAATTCAAATTTATGTGTGACATTTCACAGTAAACAGAGAGGTTAGGGAGGTGGGGGGAGGGGTAGGGCTTTTGGAGCATAGATGAGATGACAATGAAACTACCTTGAAATCTCCATTAGTACACTAAATTTATTTCCATAGGCGAAGTTGGATATGGTCAATAAACAACAGAGATACTGCTAGTTTATATTTATTTTTCAACCATTAGTCTCTAAACTGAGCTTCTTTTTTGCCTCTCATGGTATTTTAAATCTCATTCTCAAATGGAAATTAATTTTAATCCAGCACTAACTGAATGGACAAAGTCATTCAAGAAGATTGATAAAAATGTTAGCATACAAACTAGAAAGCTTGGCTGGAAGGATGATGATGGCCTAGACTATGGAGTGGGGGAACATGAATTCATGTTGATGCCATTCCATAGAACTCATCAACACTGAAATGATAACACAGTTTCATTCCCTACAGATGCTGCCCAACCTGCTGACTACTTCCAGCATTGTGTGTTTTATTTCAGATTTTCACATTTTTTGGTATTTTGCTTTTTGATCAGTGACTTCATCTCATTTGATCCCTGGTATTATACTCCTACATGAAGCAGTACCCTTGACAAGAAAGGAAGATAATAAACAAAAACAAAAACGTAGAATTTGAACACTGTCACTCCTGTGTGCCAGGCTATCGTCTAACATACCGAAATGATTGTCTGGAAGGCATTCATATTGTCCAATTCATCAGCAACAAAGTTAAATGCTCTGAAGAGTGCAACACCAGGATCTTTTAGACCATTAGCCTCATCCGAATCATCAACCACAAATACCAAGCCAATCCTGTTACAAAAAGTAAAATCACACATTATCAACCATGTTCATTGTTGGAATCATCCTCGAATAAAAATTACATATGATGGTTCATCCCTCTGACATTCCTTTTGGAATAAACAAAATTAAATAACATTGGGTTGAATGTTTGGGCATAGATGGCACTGGACATTGACGGATGAAGGCGTGAAATTTCATACTGCTGGATGGCATGCCAGTTACCAAATCAAATTAAATCAAACCAAAAGATTTATTAAGGCCTAATGTTGAAAGCTAACAGGAATTCTCCTGGAGGTAGGATGAAACAGACCAACTGGCTGGGACTACTTCCTGCCTGCAGAATGAGTGTCCAACACTCAGAAAGCACAGAGGCCCCCTTGCCTTCAGCTGCAGATCTCCCCAAGGTGTGGTTTCCCAACATCCCTCCAACCCACAATGATGGCCCAGCTACTAAGGATGAAGGCATACCTTTATTTTACATTTAAAAGGTTGGAGAGACGGCGCCTCCACCTTGGAGCACTATCTTCTGTACTTATTTGCAATGGTACCCAGCTTTGAAAGCCCACAGAAGATGGTGATAACACTAATTGGCCAGTTCAGGAAAAATCAGAGATGAGTGACTCTTCTCCGCACAGTGAGGGCTTCCGACACTCATTTGAACAGCAGAGGTATCCTGAAGCCAGGGAAAATCCTATCCATAAATGTTACACCGCTGTTCAAAAGGGGAAAAGTGAAAATCTGTAAGCTATAAGTCAGTCAGCCTACCATCAATGTTGGAGATATTTCTGGAGACAAACCATGAAAGAAAAGGCGATGGAAAATATGGTCAGAGAAATGAAAAACAGCTGTGAATCATTCCTGTGTTCTTTTATGAAATGAAGAATAAGGTTCATAAAGCGTAGCTTGGTTAATGTATATATGGGCTTCCAAAAGATGTTTGTCAAAGCAACACATACTAGGAACTTAATCAAAATTCAAACCCATGGGATTAAAGAGACAGGAGCAGCCCGAGTGCAGTACTGACCAAAGGGCAGAAAGGTCAAAGTTGCGGTGAACCATAGTTTTTCCAGACTAGAAGGGGAAATGCACAGTGGTGTTCCCCATATATCAGTACTGGGACCATTACACCTTTGACTTGAGAAAAAGTAGATTTGCAAAATGAGCAGATATGCCGCATACTAAATTTATTGTAAATAAACAAGAAGTGATACATTTTGCCACGGAGCACGAGGAAAGGCAATGTAGACTAAATATTGAGGAATTAAAAGAGGTGCAGGAATGGAAAGGCCTGGGCACGTATGTAAACAAATGCTAAAATGGTGGAAGACATGTTTAGAAGGCTGCTAAAAAAGCAGATGGGATTTTTGGTTTTAGAACTGGAGGAATAAATTACAACAGCGAGTAACCTGTACTAAATAAAAACAAAGTGCTGGAAAATTTGGCAGGTCTGACAGCATCGGTGAAAAGAGAAACAGAGTTGATGTTTTCAGTCCAAAATTACTTTTCTTCCATTTAATTTTTTTAAAGCAACCTGCTCGGACATCTTATGAACACGTGGGGTCTGAAACAAAACTACCATCTTCAAACTTTGTGGTCACCTTGCTCCTTCATTAAACTTAGAACTCTTGCTTTGTAGAAGTAAAGGTGGAAAAAGATTTATTTCATGAATGAGTTCTACTTGACTTTGACATTTTTTTTATTTAGTGATTGAGTTCCATGAATAAATCGTTGCCTCGTTTGAAGAGGCTACTGAAGAAACAAAAGAACTTAATTGAGCTTGGTTTGAAAACACAGCCAATCGTGAAAGAGGGCAATTGTCTTACTTTGTTATTGCAATTAGTTTAGGCCTTGCTGTGGATTTTAATAACAAACAACATTTGCTCAAAAGGAAATCCAAAATTAGTCAGAGATGGCAGGGAAGAATGTAAAATCTGAAGTAGAAAACAAACAGTGTTGCTCAGCACAAACAATATCTTTAAAGTATCAGAAAAATACCTGAACATCAATGAATGAATCAGTGAAAAACATACCTGAGTGGGATATCATTTGTGTAAAACATTTCTGCCATTTTCAGCAACTCAGGTGTGCTTTCATCAGTTGGATCAACAATGAGCACCTAAAATTAAACAAAATTATCAGAAATAGCTTGAGCATTTATTGTTGCTCAAAAGTATAACTCTCAGGGATTTGTCTCTTTTAAGTGCCAGCAATTCAGAGAAGCAAATGGGAACTCAGCATCATGATCAAAAAGAATTTAACGATGTTACAAAAACAAAGCTTTTTGAATACTAACACATTTAACGAAGTTTGAAATATTTGGACAGTGGAGTATTTCGCGCAATAGAAATCTTGTTAGGTATACCACTGCAGGCAATTTGATCCATTTAAACATTTTTTTCTGTAATATCTTGGATTGGAATCTTTACTGTGTGTTACGCCCATCAAAACCATTTGCTTTAAAAAGGAGTGCCATGGAAACTGGATCATGCACATGTGAGAAAGGCTCTGTGTGACGTCTTTGTTTTACTATTAGTGCCTAGCTACAAGACTCCCCAACCATCAGGAGAGATTAATCCCTTTGATCTGGTAACTGCAAAATGTCACACAGGAAGAAAATATAAGCTCAATGAACTCTGCTGCATATGGACATGGACCACAGATACAGTCTAACTTGGTACAATTTCTCCCTTGCAGAAAACAAAAAGATGTTTGGAATGTGAGGGCAAAATACACTGAATAAAAGCAGATGATGTAATGTGGTGTTAAGCCATATTTTTGTAGTAAATTAAAATAACATTTATCCTTCAGCAAATCATGCCCAGCAAGACCAACAACTGGGAAAATAAAAGCATGTTATATTCTCTACCGTATCACCAATTATTTATCAGCAGAAAATTCCTTAAATGGTCCCGATTGAAGAGCTCAGCTATACTGCTGACAAATTCACATGCTTTCAAAATTGTTTGTAGGACATAAGCTTTCATTTTCCTACTAGCATAAATAACCTTATTGTAACATATAAAATTGAGTTCTATGTCTGCTTTGTGCCTAAATAAAACGAAATTGTTTTTGTTTTACTCACAAAGTTGTGAAAGTTTTTCCGAATCTGCCGGATAACTCCAAGAAATGTGGGTCTCAGAAGTTCCTGCACATTAGAAGGCCAGGTGTTGTATTTGCTATCCGTCTCCAGATTATTGATCCACTATTTTGAGCAAAATACTAATTATAATCAACATCGACAAAGCCATCCACAGTTGAGTTAGCAGCATTCAAGTATAATCATCAAAAAGGAGTAATGTTGACATCTTTTGATTTTTACTGACACACTGTAACTTTGACACCATGCTGATACTGTGTTCAGGAGTTCGAATACAAGTGCAGCAAACTTTGTTTTAACTGGTAACTTATGAACCAGCACTCTCAAAAATTATATACCTAAAATACTGCTAAGTTTACTGAATTATCATGATCCCTGTGATGTCTAAGTAGTCAGCCGAAGGTGTGAGTGAGAAGGCTCTCTGCTGCTAAGTTTTATTTTAGGCAAAGTTGCATTATCATTTAAGTGATTTATGCTGTAAAGAAAGTATAACAGTATTGTGTATACCCCTTGCTTTGTTTCTATTACTTAGTGTTTTTTTTAACATTGATTATGTGGACCTCTTGATCAACCAGAATATTTGATCGACTGCACACTCTTGGTCCCATAGGTGTCGGTTAATAAAACATTTGCTGTAATAAATGCAAGTAAAGCTGAAGCATGCTGGAACACAACAATGGCTTTACTTCACTTAAACTAGTTCTTGCGCTATCAGAATAAGTTAGTTCTCAAAGTTCATAATTATGCTACGAGGGCATTGTTGAAATAGTGAATAAAGTCAGAGTATGGAAAATGTTTCAGCAAAGTTCTGTTTAATACCCTTTTAAGAGAATCCCTAACAGCAAGACCCTGTCTTTAAGAATATGTCGCAAAATTTGGTGGAATAGATGACAATCTGGCCAACACTGTGCTAGCAGAATTTAGTAAACACAGAAATAATACATATTAAATGACTTGGATGAAGGAAGTAAATGTCCTATTATCCAGTTAGCTGATAACACAAAAGAAGAGGAGAGAAGACAAATAGCGAGGATGATACAGAGAGTCTACAGAGGAATATAGACAGGTTACGTGAGTGAAAAAAAATTTGCACACAGAGTATGATGAGAAAATATGAGGTTATGCACTTGGGAAGAATAGAAAAGCTGAATATTGTTTAAATGGAGAAAGACTGTAGAAAGCTGCAGCATAGAGAAATTTGGTGGTCCTGATGCACGTTTCACAAAAAGCTGACATCTAAGTTCAGAATTTAAAAGGGAAGGCAAATGGGCTGGCAGCTTTTATTTCAATAGAAACAAAACAAAAATTGGGAGGCATTGCTAAAACTATCCAAGGCACTAGTCAGAACACATCTGAAATACTGTAAATGGTCTTGTTTCCCTTATCTAAGGGAGGACACACTGGCACTGGAGGCAGTTCAGAGAAGATGCACTAGGTTGAACTAAGGGAATTTCTTCTGAGGAGAGGTTGAGTAGGTTGGATTTGTACTCGTTGGAGTTTAGAAGAATGAGAGGAGACCTTACTGAAACATGTAACGTTCTTAGGGGGCTTGACCGGGTCATGCAGAGAATATGTTAATCCTACAGTCTGGGACCAGAAGGCATAATCTCAGACTTAAGGGACACCCACTTAAGGCAGAGATAAGGAGAATTTCTTTTTCTCTGACTGCAGTTGTAATGATTGGATTCAGGTGGATCTTTGACTACAAGACCCTTGATTGAGGTTGTTAACTTGAGCCAATCAGGAAGCCCTGGCTGGCCAATGTAAACAGGGGATTCAGAATCTCCTCAGTTTAAGGGACTGACTCCGAGCTGGCTGGCCACAGCCAGTGTACTGTGCACATGTACAAAGGGTGACATGGTGACAGGATACCAGCCTCTGTGCAGTTATTTCATGGAATTCGTTATTATGGAGGACAGTGGGTTAAGTATATTCAAAGTAGAGGCTGATAGATGTTTAACCATAATGGTATCAAAAGTTATGGGAATAAGGCAGGAAAGTGGAGTCGAGGATTGTCAGATCAGCCATGATCTCGTCGAGTGGCAAACAAACTTGACGGCCTATGCTTTCAGGTATCACCTACTTCAGCAAATAGCCTTGTTGAACGATAAATAACAATGCCAAGGATACAAGATAATCAAACTTACATAGATAGCTGGGTTGCGAATCTCTACACCATAATCAGAATCTGCTGGCTGTACATTTAACTTCAGTAATTCATGCAGTTCATCCCCCTGAATTCCCAGATCGTGCAGACCTTCCATGAGACGGGCCTCATTGCGCAGTAAGTCCAGAACACTGGCAAACACACAAAGACAGGACCGTTAATTTTGACAGGAAACAAACACTGCCTAATTTCTACAATTTGTATGTGTGTTTTAATTTATTTGCATATATTGTGATAGACTGGCTTCCCATACCTGAAGATATCTTGCACATCAAGATCAATACTAAGGCCATTGATGAAAAGTGCAGAGTCACCTGGGTGAAGGCCAAATGTTTCTTTGAAGGTCTGAAAGTAAAAGTAAAGAATTACTGCCAAAAATGTTTCTTGTAATTCCTGCTCATTCAGCATAAAATTTCTATTTTAGTCCCAGGTTCACAGATTTGTTTAGCCAGACAACAATTGAAGCATGCCCAGTGAGCTACAGACTCTGCTGTTTGCTGACCCTGAGCACAGAAGCAATTCAGATATTGAGATAAGTATTACCAGTCCTCATTGCGGGCGTGGGGTGAAATGAGGAAAATTTAAAAAATAGATTATCAAGGCTCCTGATTATTAATCCATTCCTCAACTGTCATGCCTCGACAGTTAAATGCTTTAGCACATAATCACTAATTGTACAAGATGAATGGTTGTCTTTGGAACAAAAGTGCAATTAAATAGTCACTTCCTTAAGTGGAGGCAATGAGAAATAAATGCAATTTTAAATAAGCATTAAAATGGTCACCACACCAGCAGCTCCTGTGCTTCCTATTCGAAGAGGTAATTTAACTTTGTTCAGCCCTTTATCACTTGCTTTTGTGTTCTGAATGGCATTCAATCCCTCCACTGATTCTATTATTTGCCAATGTCCAAAATTAAGGAAAAAAAAAACACATACACCTTCTTCCTACTCCATGTGAGCACAGGGCCCTAGTTAAGAGAGTGAAGGTCTGGGAAGCAGAGATATAGAAACATATGGATGAATGGAGAAACTGGAGCAGCTATATTAGACTGAAGATTCTACTGGTCAGCTGGTAACTCAACCCCACTTTCAGGCACACTGGAAGCACTACAGAAAGTGTCAAAAAAGCACAAGATTTAAACAATAAAAAAGGCATTAATTCAGGCTACTTCACAATTATCATGAGAGCGCACAAAATTCAATGGAACTTTGTGTTTTTCAATCTAAATTGGCAATTATTTGGGGCAGAATGAAAGAATATTAAATGGGCACTTACTTGTTGATGCTCTTCTATTTCTCTCCTCATAGCAGAGTTCACAACAGTTCTGGTTATAGACCTATGTATTAGAAAAACAGAAAATGTACATTCTGTAATTGAGAAACTCAATCAATTATGGATTTCTAGACAATAAACAAGATCTATTAGATTCTCAATTCGTAGTTTGTGAACGCTGTATTTTTTCTATATTCTGTCTAGATCCTTAGTTACTTTTCATAGCCTCTAATAATCTGGACCAACAAATAAATGTTTATTCCTGTGAATTCCAACAGTGAGAATTCACCAAATGATTCATGGAATATCTATTTACAGAAGAAACAAATTCTATGCTACTGTTCCAATGTCTCATGTTCTGCTGCTTTTTAAGAAGGGCAAAAAAGGAAAACCAGGGAATTTCAGACCAGTTTGCCAAACATTTGTGGTGGGGAAATTGTCAGAATCTATAACCAAGGATGGGGTAACTTGAACATTTTCAGTTAATCAAGGAAAGCTAGCATGGATCCATGTCAGGCAAATCATGCCTGACAAACTTCACAGAATTTTTTGAAGAGGTGGCTACGGTTGTGGACAGGGGAATGTCTCTGGATGCTGGTTTCTGGACTTTCAGAAGGTATCTGATAAAGTCCCATGTAAGAGACTGTCAAGGAAGAAACCCAGGGAATTGAGGGCCAATTACTGCCGTGTCACAAATAGGTGAAGGAAGTAATCGAGAAAGCTAATGTAATGCTGGCCTTTATATCTAGGGGACTAAAGTACAAGGATGCAGAAGTTATGTTGTACTGATACAAAATCCAGTTAGACTCAGGAGTACTGAGAGAAGACTGGACACCACATCTTAAGAATGACATATTGGTCTTGGAGAGAGTACAACATAGGTTTACAAGAATGATACCTGTACTTCAGGGGTTATGAAGAGAGATTACACAATTACACTTGTTTTCTCTAGAATTTGAAAGGTTAAAGGATGATCTGATTAAAATCTTTAAGATATTAACAGGAAAAGACAGGGTAGATAATGCTACTTCCACAGATTGGGAATTGTACAACTGGAGCTGGGGGGCTTGCATAGTCTGAGAATTAGGACTAGACCAATCAGGACAGATGTTATGAAGCACTTCCGCTCGTGAAGGGCGGTAGATGCTTGGAACTCCCTTTCACAAGCAGCAGTGGATACTGGATCAGTTGTTAATCTTAAATCTGAGATACATAAATTTTTGTTTCGTGAAGCTATTAAGGGATGTAGGCCAAAGGCAGATATAGGCCACAGATTGGCCCTGATCTCATTGAATGGTGGAACAGGCTCGAGGGGCTGAATGGCCTATTCCTGTTCTTATGTTCCTGTGACTTTTTGCTCATACAACGTGAATAAAAGGGCCTGAAATCAAATTAAATATAATCTTGAAAATTATGGGATAAGATTTAACCACGATCAGTGAAAAAAATGATGTCCTTTAGACTTTACATGAGCTTTTAAACAGCAACTTATTATCTAAGGGACATCCAATCACAGCAGCAACTTCTATGCAATGATCTGGGACATGGAAGAACAGGACAAGAAAAGAAAAATCCCATTAACCAATCAGAATCATTAAATGGAGGTGCAGCATTTGAATCAGAAAGTATCAATTAGAATACTTAATTTAACGTAAAATCTGACAAACAATAATTTTAAAAATGATAACATAGATAATTACATCTCTAGCAATAATTAAAAACTGAAACAATGAAATTCTGCACTCATAGAAGTTAATTTTCATTTGCAGCAAGATGATACGGTAATAATTAAAGCTTATCAATATCACAAAAAGGATACTTAGGGTCATTATTAAGCTAAAATTGTGCCACAGGACAGAATCCAGAAATCTCACCCTTGGAATTTGGTCCCTGCAATTTTCACAGTTGGGGAAAAGGAAGTGGGTTGCACTTCACACATCTATGATTCACATAACCAACTGCACATGTTCTCGTGCAGATGTCTTTAGCCAGATCCATCTGTGTTGGCAACTTGTGTACTGTAGACCGAGCAGGAGAAGGTCTAAGCTTGTCAGCAATCATTGGTGAGGTAGGATACCCTTTGAGAGAGATCCGTGGAAACCTTTGGAAAACAAATAATCCCCCTTTGGGATTACTGCAGGTAGACATATAAGTGGCAATGGAATTGTCAAGGGAGTTGTTAAGACATTGAAGTCTCCTGTCCTTTAAATATTTGATTGAGCAAAATATCTGAAGTGATAAAAAAAATCAGTACTTTCTATCTAACTCAGTCTGTTGACACATATTTGAGGGTTGTCATAAGAAGATTGGTGCTGTATGATGCATTTCACAATCTATCATGATCACAACAGGGTGCCTATCAATTCAGCTTGATGAACAGCTCCAAATCCCTATGAAATCTTTGAAATGGGACAATGAGCATGTTAAGGTTTATAAATGATTGAATGAAGTTAAATGTAGGGACTGCTTTATCAACGAACATCATTTTTAACATGACGTACGCTCATGAGCTTTCTTTAATCTCAACATGACTCCCGAGAACTTAGCACGTGGAGTACTGAGTGAACTGGCACAGAAGTTCTAAGGGCAAAGGGTGGTGGCGAGAGGAATGGATGGTATGATTTGACAACAAGTTGGCACAGGGGATATAAAAGGGTGGTGGGGGTGGGAGGGCATGTTGTATTCGGGTAAGGAAGAAGGATATAGTTGGAGATGTGCGTGCATTTGTTTCTTAAAACAGCTGTGACAAAGTGCCAGTGAACAAAGGCAGGCCTTTCTCACTGCCCACTGCGACACCTGGCTGCCTCTGAACTCTTTCCAAGGAGATGGGCACAAAATAATGGAGCAGGAAATATCTCAGACAGCAATTTCTGTGTTTCTGAGCTAATCTGTGCATTTGCATTCAGTGGAAGTTGCAACTCAATTTGCGCATAAATAGTGAGTACCACTGGTCCCACCATTATTATCAGAGCAAAATCATTACATGTAAATGTAATTTTATCAGTATTATATAAATGCAGTTTACACAAATAAACAGACGTCTATCATAATACCTGGCCTTAGTGGGAAAATTCTGGCTCAAGTCACGCATTACCATCAAAGCATCGTCTGTAGGTGCAGCCAAGATTCTAGCAGCAGCTTGGAAGCTTAGATCTGTCACAACAAACAGATATAAAATCTCCATAACTATTCAACAAATTAATGGCTAGAAGCTGCATAGCACATAAAATGCCTTGAATATTTCAGCCAGGATTGAAGGAGCCACAATGTTATTTAAGATAGTTAAGGAAATGTAAAAGATAAATTCACAACATTACTGTGAATGAAACAGTGAAAGTCAGACAAAGTTGTAAAAGTCAAAACTGGTAAACAATGAAATTAATACTGATATCAGAAATCACTTTTTCACACATGACTTAGAGCTCAAGGGCAATAAACACTGTTTGGAATTTGTTTCAAATCTACATTTCCTTTGTGAATGAAAACTGTAGATATCAGTGCTGCTGTTTTTTCCAGTCACAACTCTTGGGGTATTTTATTTCAAATTACTGAGAGTAGATTATGCAAACCAATATATCTGATCCAAAGGAGAAAGACAGCAGTAAATCTCTTTTCTGTGACAGGAAGTGGCTGGTGAGCAAGTCATCCAGTCATTCTCTCAACCAAAGTTGGCCTACATGAGGAATTAACAGAATTTTTTCACCAGTAGAATTTTTAATCACATACACTCAACTGGTCGGGTCCAGCCCTCCTCTCTATCATTGGAACAGATGCATTTTTAAAAATTTCTTCACAAGTTGGGAGTTTCATTATCTATGCCAGTCATGACTGCCCAAGACAAATGGACCCCAATACGGTGTTACTTTCTTGGACCGCTGCAGTCCTTGGATGTCACGCTAAGGTCAGGAAGGGAGTTTGAGGATTATGACCCATGACAGTGAAGGAATGGTGAGATATTCCCAAGTTAAGATAGTGTGCATCTTAAAAGAACTTGCAGGTAATTATGCCCCCATCCAACTGCTGCCTTGCATTTCCAGGTGGCAGAAGGCACGGGTTGTGAGGTGGTATCAGAGGGTCCTGGGTGAATTGTCATAACCCATCCTGTAGATGGTACACATTGCTGCACTGTGTGACAATGGTGAAGTGAGTGAATGCTGAAGGTGGTGGATGGCGTGCCAGTCTAGCGGGTTGTTTTTTTTTCCTGGGTGGAGTCGAGCTGCTTGATTGTTTGAACTGCAAAATGCAGGCAAGTGGGGAGTACTCCAGCATATCCCTGACTTGCGCATTGTAGATGGTGGACAGGCACGAAGGAGACAGATGTTATTCCCCACAGAATTTCTAGCCTCTGACCTATACTTGTAACCATATGGCATATACGTAGTTGATCCCCTCAGTTCCTGGTTAAAGGCACTCCCCAGGACATTACCTATTCTGCAAACTCCATATGAAGCATTGCTAAGTTCAATGAAAAGCATCATCAAATAGAAAAAGCATCACTGCTCTTGCTCCTTTGACATTTGAGAGAAATTAACTAATTACAGCCATATTATTCAAAATCAGTCTGTTCTGACAAAATTTAACTTCTCTTTCTCCTACAAGAATATGTTTTTTCCAGGCATATATTGTTAAATGTCTTGGTCCCAAGATCTTGAAAAGGTGTTAACAAATGCAAGTCATTCGTGAATTGAACTGACTGCTCGGGTAAGCTTTCCGGGAAACCAAAGCCAACCTCCAATTAAAAAGGGGATATTCTGCTTGCACAAGCTATTGCACTTCCTCCCTTTTGGCAAATATTTCTGAGTCATCCAGTAAGCAAATCTGTAAAATCTGCTGGCTTTAAGCTAAATCTATTTACTATTTTCTTTTGAAAGGTTCTTCTCAGTTGTAGTGATTGGAACCAGGTGGACCTCGTTGACTATGAGGCTCTTGATTTGGTTTGTTAACCTGGGCCAATCACAAAAGCTTTGGCACCTCCTTCAGGAGACCAAAGACTCTTAGACTCAGAAGGAAACCCAAGAATCCCAGAAAGAGTGCACCCAGGAGGAACACATTGGACCATTATGCTATCATTAAGTTCCCCGTGACCACTGAGTCTGGTATGAAGAAAATTGAGGACATCAATACTTTTGTTTCATTGTTGATATCAAGGCCAACAAACACCAGATCAAACAGGCTGTCAAGAAATTATATGATATTGATGTAGCTAAAGTCAACACTCTTATTCAGCCTGATGGTGAAAAGAAAGCATATGTACGACTGGCCCCAGACCACAATGAATTGGATGTTGCTAATAAGATTGGCATCATCTAAACCGGCTTTACGAAGAACTGTAAAATATTTCAATAAAATTTTTAAAAGTTAAAAATAAACCAGGAGATTAGAATCTCCTCAGTTGAGGACTGACTCTGAGCTGGCTGGCCGCAGCCAGTGTGCTGCGCACAAGTAAATGAAGGGCGACTTACTGACAGGACCAGGCCTTCGTGCAGTTATTTCACACTTGCCTTTGAAAACCCCAAAAAAAAAGGAAGTCAACCACAACTAACAAAAAATAAAAAGAGAAAAAAAATAGAACCAGGAGATCAGAATCTCCTCAGTTGAGGACTGACTCTGAGCTGGCTGATCACAGCCAGTGTACTGTGCACAAGTAAATAAAGGGTGACTTTGTGATGGAATACCGGCCTCTCTGCAGTTAGTTCATCAATTAATCATTTGAAGCTAATTACAGTACTCTTCTTTCCATTTTTCTTGACTCAACATCAGCTTCAACCCTGTCCACAAGCAAATGGAAGAAACATATGGAAAGCAGGCCACTTAGAAGATATGCTGCAGGATTCTTTCTTTAAAAAAAAAACTGTGAATTTTCTGAGGAACACACAGCTCAAGGATTTCTTTAATAAGTTGCATAGCCTCCATTTTGTCAATAAAAAAGCAAAGCAGAAATGCTATAGTGTTATGAAAATTCTTGCTGGACACATCCAATACCCAACACTTTACAGTCAGAAGTATCCTCATTTTTTGTTTCATTCATCGAATACTTGGTGAAAATGAACTTTAAAAAGGCAGCTGTTCAGTTCAGAAACAGATGCAAGTTTAAATCTGAATTGATTCAATCCAGTCGCTCATGTTCCTGATCATTCAATAGACTTGGAATGTACTTTTTTTTAATGCTGGGAATGGAATAAAGGTATATCTCATTATCAAAACTTGATTGCATTGTATGAGGACACATAATTCTATAATCTTCAGGTGATCAAAATGAATTCCACAGTCAGTGAAGTCAGTCAATCTAAGTGTAGTTCTGAAAAAAAAAATCCACTGTAGTAGTCTACTCTCATCTCTCACAGTTTAGCATTCCAAGTTTGTTAAAAACTGAGATCACCACCTAGTACCTGTAGAAGGCAAATGGTTAACAACATCAGTACCATCAGAACCCATCTGTCCATTTTTTTTCTTCTTTATTTATTCACAGAATGGCCAGGCAGCATTTACTGCCCATCCCTAATTGCCCAGAAGGCAGTTAAGTGTCAACCACATTGCTGTGAGTCTGGAGTCACAGGTAGGCCAGACCAGGATGGCAGTTTTCTTCCTTGAGGGATATTAGTGAACCAGATGGGTTTTTCTGACAATTGACAATGGATTCATGGTCATCATTAGACTCTTAATTCCAGATATCTTTAAATAAATTCAAATTCCGCCTTCTGCCACGGTGGGATTTGAACCCGGGTCCCCAGACTTATTTCTGGGTCTCTGAGATGATAGTCCAGTGACAATATCACAAGGCCATCGTCTCCCCATTCCACAACCAGCAAAGGAGAGAATTTTAAATGAATTGAAAGCCAATGCAAAGTATTAGTACAGTGGGGTAATGGGGTGGGGAATGAGAACTTGCAGCGAGAATGACGAGAGTGTATGACAATGTGACCATCTTTGCAATAGTATTGATCACAACACTAACTAGGGTCATTAAACCATCAATTTTGTATAAGGGTGTAAGAGTCTTAAAGGAGAGTGCATTAAGCAGCACCTAACAAACAGCTTTGGACCTTGAAGTAGTAAGACCTAACATCAAGATCTCCCTCCATCATACAATTGTAATTTATACCCAGTTACTATCATGCAATAAACTACAACGTTTCGACAAGAGTCTGTTCTTGTTAAGACCATCAGGTCATTTAACCAGGAGATCCCTGGTAGATCCCTACCTGGAAGCAGATTTTCTGTTCCTACCAGATGGATCTTACACCATGATGAGTTATGGTGAGCATCATACAATAGCGAGGACCTGATTTTGTGTTTCCAATTGTCTATATCAGCATGCTCTTTAAAAATAAACTGGTGTTTGCATCACACAATCCAAGAATATGTACAAACTTCATAACTAAATGAACAATTTGTTTCCAGGTGAGACTGACAATTTCGTGACAGCTCCAAATTTGACAACATTTCTCTCAGCTCACCTTGCAGCTGCCAGACTTTGAGAGGTGCCATCTCATTTGTACTTTCAACCAGGTGCTTCCTCAGTTCCTTGAGTTGCTCCTTGATCTCAGGATACAGCTGCCTATCATCAAGGAAGAAGCAAAACTGCAATTACTACAAAAGAAATTTACAAATAAGACACTGGCACAAAGTTACAAAACTTCACTGTACTTGAGGTAGCCCTTGGTATTGAAGCCAATAACGACTCAAGCTCTTCTTTACAGGACTGTACCTTTGAGCTTTACATTCTAGTATGAAATAAATCCATACTTCTTTCCACCAAAAAGGGATCAATACTTCAGTACAATTTTAATATAAAGCAATAAATATACATTAACGCAATACAGCTTCCACTTCCCAAAATGTGTTAGGAATTTACATCCACCTCAAATGGCAAGAAGTTAAGGTAAGCAGAAGAAGGTTCCAAAGATGTCAAAAATATCCTTTTCAACTTTTGGTACAGAAAATGACTAAATCTCATCTTCCAGTCTGTATTATTTGACCTGATTCAGTGTGCTCTATAGTTGGTGCTCCCAAGGTTCAAAACAGATGAAATCATAAGGCAACATTGATCACTACTTAGTTATAAAATTTTCAGTTTGATCACAACCAGATATTGATTCAGCTCGCATTTCTAGAGAAACCAATTATCGATGTCCTATTTTTATGCATTCTGTTCTCTATAGGAAGATACCCTGTAATCTCTATTTCACTTGAAACAGGTCGATTTTGTAGCTTAACATTTAGACGACGAATAAGCTTTGTGCAGACAACCTGTGTGGCTGAACCATCTTAAAGTAAAAAAATCTCAAGGTAATAAATACCACTAAAATAAAGCTCTTTAAATTAACATTTACGCATAAATGTACTTTATTTCTTTGAAGATTATCAAACTACTTGTTAGAATATGAGCAAGTGTTGAGTCCCATATGTTAGCAGCCCAATTTCTTTTTTCATGTTCTTACTTCAGTTTTCCGAAGAGGAAACCTTGGACTTCATCAACAGGATCATTTTCGTTTATCACAGTGGCATTTAGTTCAGAGCCTGTAAGAAAAACATCGAAAAAAAAGGCTGGGGGTGAGGGATAAAAGCAAAGTACTGCTGATGCTGGAAATCCAAAGCAAACAAATTGTTGGGAGAAACTCAACAGGTCTGGCAGCATCTCGATGGAGAGAGAAAGAAGGTTCATCTTCAAGTTCAGTATGACACACCAGACACAAAATGTTAACTTTGTTTCGGTCTCCACACATTACCAGCACCTGCAGCATTTCTCCAAAATTTTATGTATTTATTTGTGAGGTTGAGGGAATTTGCCAATGGGTACAATGACAGAAGAATAGTAGTAGATGCTCAAAAAAGAATTTAACACGATACAGTAGCAGTTTCTATGCTGGAGAACCAAGAGCTCTACTGACCAAAGGAAATCTCAAATGATTAAAGAGACAACATAAAAAGAAAAAAAAAACACACAAAAGTCAAAAAAGCAGCACAGATTTTCATGAAGGTGAAAGATACAAAGTATAGCTGAAGTTGTAAAGTATGGTAGAAGTAAGAGCTACAAAAGGGAAAATCAAAATTACAAAAGATAGCAAAGTCAACACAAAAAAACTTTCCATATATCATAGGAAAGGTAGTCAAGAGCAAAAGCCTTTTAAAAAACAATACTAATGACTTTGTCAATGAAAAGTTAATGGCAGACATTTTGAATAATTACAATTTACAATAAAGCAAGAGGTCACTAGGCCAAAGATTCCAAGAAAATTAATATTGAATTAGGGACAAGCATTCACCAGAATTAATGCAATCAAAGTAACATTGCTGAACAAAATAATGGCACTGAAGAGTGACAAAAGCCCAAGGACAGTAGTTTTTATTTCCAGACTTTTGAAAAAGTAAATGAAAACATGTCTGATACCCCAATTATAATCAGAGTTTTCGTGATTCAGAAACCATAAACTTTGGAAATTGCATTTCATTCCACTATCAAAAGGTTAGACTGGGAAAACCAAGGCGCTTTTGCAACTTCACATCAAATCCATTGACAGGAAATTACATGCATCTATAATTAAGTATACAATGGATGAACACTGTGAACATTTTCAGCTGATCTGAGACCAGACATGGATCTTTCAAAGGTAAGTCAAGCATGGTGAATCTGATTCAACTTTTTTCAATCGGTATCTGAAGTAATGGAGGCAAGGAAGGGCAGTGAATATTGTTTCTAGAACATATTGGATAAAGATCCTCATCAGATACTTTTAGTTGAAGCTTAAGGCCCTGAAAGTAATGAAAGTTATTAAGCAAGAATTTTGCTGAGCGGCAGGAGACACAGTAGGTGCAAAGGACAAGTACTCATTAGAGGATGTAACGTACGATAGCTCGTAAGAACCTGGACCAAGACGTCAACTAGTCACTGCATTTATTAACAACTTAGATAACAGGACAGAAAACTACATTTGCCAATAATGCCAATTGGGTGGCATGGTAGCTCAGTGATTAGCACTGCTGCCTCACAGCGCCAGGGTCCACGGTTCGAATCCACCCTCGGGCAACTGTCTGTGTGGAGTTTGCACATTCTCCCTGTGCCCACGTGGGTTTCCACCGGGTGCTCTGGTTTCCTCCCACAATCCAAAGATGGGCAGGCTCGGGGGACTGGCCATGCCAAATTGCCCATGGAGTTCAGGGATGCGTAGATTAGAGGATGAGTCTGGGCGAGATGTTCTGAGGGCTGGTGTGTACTTGTTGGGCCAAAGTGCCTGTTTCCACACTGTAGGGATTCTACGATACTATACACAAAGACAGTTGGCCTTTTAAGCCGTGAACACAGGTGCATAAAATTGTAAAAAAAATTAATAAACTAACTAAATGGACAAAACTGTGGCAAATGAATTTCAATACAGGCCAATGTCAGGTCATCCATTGTGGACATAAAAGGGATAGAAAAGGGCACTTTTTCAATTATGTAAAACTAGAAGCACTGGAGGTTCAAGTAGAGTACGTAGATAATGTAAAATGTCTTGAACAACTATAGAGAAAAAACAAAGAGGATAATAGAATGTTATCTATTATATCTTGAGGACTAGGATTAAGGAGTCAGATTTCAAACTTCAGTTATAAAATGCAATCATTGGATACTGCTAAGTGAGGTAACAATTTGTAGAAAGGGACATTAATACAAGGTAATCCCCAATGATTGTTCTATTCATAACCCGTCATCAGCATTTAGAACTTAATCAAGTTCAACAGAAAAATAAATTGCAAATCCTAATCTTTTTAAAGATTTGATCTTTTATTTGTTGACAAAAAGAGAACAAATCCTTCTACTATTGTTTTACCTGCTATAAATCACTTATATATTCACAACTATATTGTTTGTGGCCAGTAAGTGTCAGTTTGAAAATGTTAATTCCTAATATCAAATGAATTTCATTTGCACTCCTTTTCAGAGAAAGCCAACATTATTTGCACAACATTTTGAAAGTCTGGCATTTGATTAAAAGCAACACCCAGTCCAACATTAAGCCATCTAAATCCTGGTTCAATTCCAGGTCTTCATGAATTTAATTCATCTCAGCGAGCTCACAGTTTGAATGCTACACCTGACCTCATCATCCCCAACTCTCACTGAAGGTGCAACAACTTATCAACTCTTGTTTGATGCCTTCAACAGTCAAGCAGCTGTCAGGGCACTCAGATTAACCCGTTATCATTCCATCACCGGTCAATGCTATAATTTTTTAATATTATGATGAAGCTACTTCAGCAATAATAGACTATGAATATCATTGCATCAAGTTATAATTTGAAAATTAATCTTTAGGCGTAAATAAGAAATTGATACAAGTTTGAGTACACAAGTTAAATAAAGTACTCTCCATTGTAGTAATTTTAAAACTGTACAGAATGTGAATTATTTCAATGACCTGTCACTTGTGTGTCATCTTTGGCCTTGTATTCAGTACTTTTAATGGCAAGCTCAACTCCATAACCAGAAAGGAAGACTTTCTCCTTACTTGGATTCTGTAAATAAAAATTCAAAAAACATGAAATAAAAGCAAATGAAATCAGACAAACGTTAAGCATTTGCTCATTACGTAATTAATTATTTGCCAGCTACGCAACAACTAAATAATGTAGGAAAGTTCTTGTTTTTAAAATGTTTTGTCGACAGAGAACTCATTTCTGTTTGGACAAGTTTCTCATGATACACCTCCATAGCCATCCTATCCTGAGGTGAGACTTGAATCCAGATTTTCTGGCCAAGAGGTAGGAACACCACCACTGTGCCACAAGACCCTAGCATTGACTTTATAAATTATATATGAATAACATTACTATTAATGTTACTTTGATTACTAGTAACTAAATGCATCATATAACTAACTCCTCCTTGTTTTACAAAGGAGGCACCTGTTATACTTCATTGCTATTACTTTTTGGAAGGAACACCCAGATGTGTGTTCAGTCTTCAATCAGTTATTCCTTCAGTATCTATCCAACTGACTCAAAAGGCCTTTTTTCACATCACAAGGCTCAATGCAACATTGAATACTTGAATACTTAAATACTTATGTTGTCAATATAGAACCCTTATTCTTTCTTTGTACATTGTCTGTATTTTGTAATGTCACTGACTTGCTGCTGTTATCCATCTATTATAACAAAGAGGCTTGAATAAAAAGAAACAATACAACTTGAACAGTAGGAATTCTCAGATACCTCTACCAATGGAGCTAGAGTTAGGGTCAGCACTCTGCATCAAACTTTTCCTATGAAGTGGTCATCTAGGCAAGGCATTAGAGTGACCTGTGGAATCATCTGCCAGGAAGGGTGCAACAATGCAAGCAGTGGCAATACAGAAAATTGTCAGAGTAAAACATGCTTATTGAAAAGCATATCACTTATTTGGCAAATGAAATTTCTCTAATACCAATACACGACCACTTTCACAATACTTAAAATGAATTCCCCAGACAGCCAGAATTCAACAAGAAATGAGTATTAATTAAGTTGCAAATTAGGAATAGGGTTAATCACAAAGCAGTCTGTTTTACTTACAGCAACATAATGTCTGAGGACATAGTTGATATTTCCAACCTCAGATTTAGAACGAAGGAGTTTATGGAACTTGGAAAATTCTTTGGTACCAATCTCACCATAAAGAATTACCACTGGAAGTTCAGGTCTTAAGGATGCGTCAATGTGATCGCCTTTAAACAAATAAGGCTTGGGTCTGATGTAAGGAAAGAAAATCAGAATTAAAAATGCCTAAGTTCCAAGTAAAATTACATTATATAGTTTGCCTCAAAGACTTTTACAAATCGTAAATTTTATTAAATATTTCAAAGGTTTTCCATTGTATAAACCATTAACTACTTTGTTTTCATGATAATTGTATAATTAAAACCTATGATGTGACTTTCAGACCCAAATTGAAGATTTACAGAAAGCAATTCAAAAAATAACCAAAATAAATTCCTATAAATGGTTTACTCTTGAGCTATCATTCCCTGAGGGCTGTATGTCCTCTAGGATGTGGTTCCATTGTGGTTCCGCAAAGTTATTGTTCAGGTGTAGGCTTGAGACAGTAAATATGGGTTTCTGATTCAAAAAGATCAGCCATCAAGATGAGCCAATCTTGTGCTCATCACATGCACTCTCAACAACAGCCACTCATCAACAATTCAGTTCTTGAATTCAGGACATTTTTGTTTCCCCTGAAGCATTAATCCCAATTTCAATTCATCCAACTACAATAGGAATTTGTTAACTCAAGGGACAGCACCTGGACAACCCTGCACTGCATCACTTCATGTCATGATATGGTGCATTTTCCCATTAAACTAACTGGAACAAATGTAAAGATTAAGCTGTATTGAAGTGCAATCAGATGAAAAGATGAACTGGAAATTTACTAACGCATCTTCATATTGACTTTGAAGTAAAATATCTCCTTGACAATGATTACCACATTTATCATAAAATACCTTCCCATTGAATCACAGCATCATACACCCCTTAAAGTGGCACATTTTATTTTATATTATCACTCCAAGACAGTATAATTCCTATAATTTAATTTGTATAATTTGAAGACAGTTAAGAACCTACTTGTGTGAAGTATGCTTTGTCATGCTTCCTTAGCTAGCACTACAGATGTCCAAGTGTGCTGGTAAAGCTATTGTAAAATGATGCCATTGAAACATTGACAGCAGTTTTGAAATTTAACCTTTCAACATAATGTTGGTAAACATCCATATTATAGATACTTATTTTCATAGTCCAACATTTATATTTAACATAAATGAGAATGTCATTTCATACATGAAACTATCAAATAATATTCAAACCCCTCTAGCTACAAATGGCAAACCACAGAAACTAACGTTTCTGCAGGGAATAAATCAAAGTCTGTTGAATGGTAACTTCAAAGTGGACGGGCTTGTACCATTAATGTTCTGATTTTGAAAATTAACGACTAGTTGATCTTTTGAATCGCTGCTCACATACAGCTCAGAGGCCACGAGCAGTTTCAGGACTCCAAACCTCCAGAGGTCACTTTATTTTCTCTGAAGTGGGAAGGTTGGATATTTGGCTATTTGTTGATTTGTGAAAGGAAGTGAAGAAGCAATGAAGAGCTAGGCTGGATTAAGAGGAAGTCAAAGGCAGGGTTGAGCTGGAAGGGAGGCAGTGGCAAGGAGGCTGTAGCTTTGACCAGGACCTCAGAAATTGGACATCATGGCTGAAAGAAAGGAGACCAGAACCTGAAGATTAAGCTTGAAAGGAGCAGGGAGTTTAGAATTTGGCTATGTGGTCATAATTGGGTCAGAAGTGAAGCATTGGAATAGAGATTATTGTTTAGTAATTTTGTAAGTGATAATGCATTAAGAAGCATAGGTTAACACATAATGCACCGTGGAACAGCAAAAACAGCCATTGATTTGAAAAATAGATTTGTACAGGTATGAACCAAATATATATAGTCAGTTATCACTCACAACAGACTTTTACATCAACAAACATTAAATATTGTGACATAATCACCTGAAATAAACAATCAACAAGAATGGAGCTACAACTTAGAAAGGAAAGAACAATAAATTAAAAATAATAATTATTGCTTACTCTCCACCCATTTTCCAAGTCAGACTGAAGCATTGGGATAGCTCTTGGCAGATGTCATGACTGGGGGAGGTGGGGTGGAATTTGAGATCAGGGAAGTTCTAGACCCAGATGGAAAGCAAAGACAAGAAGACTATGAAAAATGACATTGATTTTCCAATCAACTTGGAAGGGAAAGAGGAATTCTTATGGTGGTTGGAACTTGATGGAATTCCCTCAACCAAGTGTGTCATGGTGACATTGACAAATTCCAGCATCCACCAAATGTGAAATCCCTGAAATCATCAGAAACGTCAGAGGCTCAAAACAGTGTTATAGTCTTAGAGCAGCACAGGAGAGCTAGTAAATGTTGGGAAGCAAAAGTGTGAGAATTTCTTCCTAACTAATTTCATGAAACAAAATTCAATCATAGTTCTTAATAAAAATGTCAAAACACTACATTTAACAAAGAAATTGCACTTGGCAATTCCACCAATTTATCATACTTTACTTTGCAACATGGCACATCAGCATTATGGTTTCACACTAAAGGCCAAGCATACCAACTTCTGCTTTAGACGCAAGCCAGATCACCCAAAACCAAACTGCAATCTAAAGCTTTAGGGGCTCATATCAACTAGTTCAAGCTTTCAGCAGTTGAAATTCTCTGAATCCAAACGCAAAATGCACTGGTCACCATTGAGAAGAGTCCCTTGTCACAAATTACCAGATAAACAGGCAGATAATGCTTCAAAAACAGGTTTAAAAAGAGGATGCAATAGCAAAAGGAATTTAACTGAAAAGGATTACTATCAGTGGCATGTACAATCAATTCCAATCTTGAACATGATTTCGCTATTGATAGGTAATCAGGATTGCAAATAATAGGAGCAGCAGTAAGAGATGAATCCACTCAAAACCCATGTTCCACAACTGGACAACAGCATTACGCAACTGTAAACCCAATGAACTCAAGACCTACGCAGTACCGAATTTCAAGCCCGCTCATGACTAAGTTACCAATTTTCAAGTTATTAATTTCACTACACTTTGCAACTTCAGAAATTATTCTCAATTTATACGTTTTATACTTGCTTGTTTATTTTTTACCTCTCCAGAGCACTCTGAAGAAGCACCTCCAACCCGTCAGGATTGCAGCTTTTCTCCCCATGCACATTTACAAAAGCAGAACAGTCTTCTGGAGGGGGCTCCTCTGCTGCAATCTATTAAAAGAATTGGTATCATTCATATCATCAAAATCAGAAATAGTTTTACCAGCTTTCAGTGGGATTAAAATCTGCAAAATACATACACAGTCAACTCACCTGCTGAAACGTTTGAACAGTGGCAGAGTAAGCCCGTAGAGACAAGGCAAACTTCAGTAGGTTGGCCTGCACAGGCGTCAGAAATTCATCAGCTTTCTGCAGTATATACTTGTAGTATGAAATATCAGTTTCTGCTGTATAAAACAAACCAATTATAAAGTTGCATCCTTGCATTTGCCCTTCCCCTATAAAATTCCTCCCTTATTTTCCTGCAGGTTTTTATTAATTGTTCAGTTTCATTTTAATAGATGCTGATCACATTTCTTGTTCAAAAAGGCCACTGTTGATACCACAGCATAGAAAATTAAGGAGAAAATGCTATTTGACCACTAAAGATAGTTAATGTACTCTCCCCCATAAGAGTTGCTAAACAGCAACTGTCAATAGAAATCTTGTTCATTTTACCTTCTCTAGACCTTGTGTCATAAAACCCAACTGTCATAACCTTACCACTTTGCCTGTAAATTGCACATATACTGGCAGTGAAGCCTGGGATTAGCTTGTCATGGGATTGACACACTGCGTCAGGAACAGCAACTGGTGTATCTTTAAATGATACATATTACTTTTCTTATTCTTTTTCACTCATTCATAGGATATGGCCATTGCTGGTTAGTGTTTATTGCTCCATCACTAACTGCCCAGAGGGCAGTTAAGAGTCAACCACATTGCCATGGCTCAGACGAGGTAAAGACAGTTGATTTGCTTCATTACAAACCATTAGTGTACAAGACAGATTTTTATGAGTGATTACAGTCATTATTTTACCGAGATTTTAAATGAATTCAGAATTCACCATCCACCATGATAGGATTCAAACCCATGTCCCTAGTACATTAGTCTGAGGGTCTGAATTATTAGCTCAGCAACATTATCAATAGGCCTCCACCATCTTTTACTTTAACCTGAACTTTCCTACCTTATATTCCTTTACTGAGGGCATTCTGTGCCTACAAACTAATTTTGCTTACTACAAGAAAATTATTTGAAACACAGGAGGACCAAATAAAAGGTTGAATGCTCACTGAATGAGTCAAGTGCTTGAAATTTTATTCAAACCATCATCTACTTCCAACTATTTTCTCTACACCTACATAAAGCACTGTCACGCTGCAAAACTAACTTCTATCATTATTTTAAGGCTCCAGTAGTATATGGGTAATGCAATAATTTTGCGCTCACATAGAGCAGTTCATCTCATTTTACCAGATCACAGCCATTACCTATAGCCCATATGCAAACAATACAATTTCATGTTCTGCCTCCTGAATGTGGACCAGACATTGGCAATACTCCTCTTCACCACTATCTTCACCACAATGCATCCTGCTTATTTTTCCAATAATTTGTGGTGTGTTCTCACACTGGGAGATCAGAGAACACAAAATGCTAGTTCAACATTGCCATTGTAGAGACTTTTGGCACCATGTTGAAGAAATTTAAATTTTGTCACCATCCCGCTCTCACGTGACAATCCGAAGAAAATTGCTGCAAGAATTTTGTGGTATTGTCTGTCCACATGTCTGACAGGCATGGAACAGCAGGCCAATGTACCATCAAAGTTTTAACCAAGACAGCGTTTCTCCTCCACCTCCAAATCAAATGTTACTTGGCAGTATTTTGCATAAATGTACATCAATAGAAATGAGATCATCAATCCTCTCATCAACATGCAATGAAGTTAACACTACCTTGATTCGGATGAATTTCTTGAGCAGCATCCACAAAATCCCAGAACTTAGTTTTGCTTTCTTCAGCCAAAAATTCACTGCAATATGAAGAAAACAACTTCCAATTTACTTACTTCTCCAGTAAAGTATTAAGTCACTACTCAGTTCACGGAAATTAAAAGTTATTAGAATTGACCTTATTGATGTGTTTATCTAATCAGTGTTTCGATCAGTTATTCAGCAAACACACTTCACTGCAAACTGTAACATTGTAAAGCCTGAAATACCCACTGGTGGCTCTTCCACTCCACTTTCTTGCACTGACTTTCGCCTGTAATTGAGATGCTGCATTAAAACTCGCAACAGTCCATTATTATTGACCTGTTTAGATGGAAGATTTTGCACTTAATGGCTTTATTCACAAGGGTACCAACAAAATGATCATTAATTTAAAATGGATACTTTTGGTTCGGTACACAAATTACAGCACAGAAATCAAAAGCAGAGGTAAAGTTAAAAACATCTAGTTCCCTAGTCTGGTGAATGAAAACACAAAGTGGGGGGGGAGCAGGAAAAGATTTGATTGTGTAGCCTTATAGACACTTTCCAAAGGCAGACAATGCAACAGTCTGCTCGCTGCTTTGACGTCACAGCTTTCATCAATAATATTAATGAGAATATACAAAGTGTGTGTGGGGGAGGGGGTGGGGGGGTGGTGCTGTAAGCACAAGGGATCTACAGTGCTGCCTGATACCCCCAAGAATCAATATGAGAAACATTGCAACACACATCAGAGTTTCCTCAAACATTATTGCATTTAGTACCTTACTTCGTGACTTATGATGCTCGGACTTCATTTACACATAGAAATATAAATCTTAGACAAAGGAAAAGATTATTCTGCCTTTTGAGCAAGCCCTAACATGCAATAAGATCATGGCTGATCTGATTGTGATCCAGTGCCACTTTCCCATTTGCCGCCAACCCTCCACCCCTATAACCCAAGATTCCCTTGTCTCAAAAATCCAACTCTACCTTGAATAAGGTTTTAGAGTAGATTTGTACCTTGAATAAATTCAATGACCCAGCCTCCACTGTTTCTGGGGAAGAAAATTCTGTATATTAATGACCTTTAGAAAAGAAAAATTTCAAATCAAGACATGTGCGATTCAGTCTCAATGGCTCTGCTAAGAAAAATATATAAAGAATTATCAGATCACGGGTCCTGGTTCCATGACAAACGCTACTGTTAGTCTGTAAGAACGATGTCTGGCAACTTGACAAAGCCACACTTTGCTAAACCCCTCTTTTATCTTCTCCTAATTCCAACATGGCAATTTCCGAAATGAAATTCAAGAAATTTGTGGACTATTAGAAAAGGATTGATACTGACAGATTATCAAACATCTTGTAATCCTTTGTGAAAAGTTTGTTCTCTTGCAACAACACCAAAAAATAATTGATTGGGTACCATGCCGTATTCCCATTTTTCCTAATGAAAAAGCTCCATTTTGGTTCAAAGAAGTTAACTAAACAAAATAGAAAATCAGCTAATAATTGATAAACGAAATAACAATAGAGTGGGTCTGGCAGCATCTGTGAAGAGAGACGACAGCCATGATGTGAAGGTGCCGGTGTTGGATTGGGGTGGACAAGGTCAGAAGTCACACCACACTAGGTTATAGTCCAACAGGTTTATTTGAAATCACAAGCTTTCAGAGCTGTGAGATATTGTGTTATGATTCTCTCTACCAATTCATTCACAAGTGCTCTACATTTACTATACCGTGCTTCCATTCATTCATTCATAAAATCACATTAAACTAAATTAAACATCCCTTCCTACCCATTACTGCTTCTTAACACCTTTCGATTCTTATTGGACGCATGCTACAAGTAGGGTTTAGACCTGTATCTGTATCGAAGGCTACCCCTGAATAAATGATAATACCACAACCTACTCAAAACAATATCATCCCCACCATGGTGTCTCCAAAACTCATTCAAAACTATGGAAAGATTATAATATTAATTGGTCCTTAGCAGCTGTCTCTCGGGACCTGAATAGGTTGCAGAATGTCAAACGGTTTTCTCCACTAGTATGTGCTTTTTAAATACATATTAAATAGGGCCGCTACCCCATTAAGAAACAGCACCTCCGTGGAAGTGCACGAATGGATGTGCAAGAACGATCAAAACTGGCAATAGTAAAAGAAATCTCACGACACAGCTGTGGGAGATCAGGTTAATATCCTCGATACTTTTATTTAGTACACGTATAATTTCTCACTTATTTAGATCATATAGGTCTAGTATTTTTACTAACATTATTAACTTTATAGACAAAAGGACTAACACCTCTTAATTATGCAAGCTCAGACTGGACAGACATTCTAATCCCATCAAGAGTACCAGGTAGCATTTAGCAAAGGCTTAAACCATCTCCTGCTTCCCCACGACAGATATCACACAAACTTCTGTACAATAGATACAACAATGTGACACCTTAATGCTAAAATTTTAATGAATGTAAAAACTGTATAAAAGAGACTACTGTAAAACTGTACTTTGGATTCCATTGCCACCTCTGTGTCCTACTGTGAATGCTCAATAAAGTGGCTATTTTCGCCACTCATCGATCTCAGTCGTTATTGAACACGATCCCAAAGAGGTGACCTGATGATGGGGCAGCACTTCGAAAGCTTGTGATTTCAAATAAACTTGTTGGACTATAACTTGGTGTCGTGTGACTTCTAATTGTGAAAAGAGAAGCAGCGTTAACTTTGAATTGGATAATGTCATATCAGAATCCAAATATTAACTCTGTTTTTCTCTCCACTAATGTCGCTCGACCTGCTGAATTTCTCCAGCAATTTATGCTTTTATTTCAGATTTCCAACATCTGCCTTATTTTGCTTTTAAAAGAATAATATATTTACCTTGCTTCCAATAACAATGGTGTGGATGGCCACTTGGTAGTAAGAGTTGTTGTGACGGCTTTTGAGTCTGCATTCACAACCGAGAAGAAGAGATACACCAGAGCTAGTGTTGCAAGAATCCCAGCATTGTCATTCTTAGCTGAAATAAGTACATATTAAAAATTACCAATAATAATTCCACTAATAATCCTTTTCTTTTATTCAATTTAAGCAAATACAATGATACACAGTGAAACAGACTGTAACAGAGGAATGTTGAAGCTACAAAGTTTACAACAGAGCACTCAAAATATAATAGAGTTCTGAGTTTATTTATACTGAATTCAAACACCATCGTCGGTGCAGTGTTTTGAAAGGTACATTAGGCAGATAGCTTGGCTTTGTGACAGAACAGACAAGAAACAAATCAAGTAGTGATGCATTTCATTGGTATCATGACAACTAAACTTTGTTCTAAAAAGTATATATTTTTGCTCCAGAGTTAATAACAGAAAAATGACCTGCATACAGTTCATTAAGGGCTGATCCCTGTTAAGACCCCGGACTGTGGACCAGAAACTAAACTGAGTTATCTGCAAACATTGAATTTCAAAAGAATAAATCAGCAAAGTTGAGGGAAGTTTGAATTCAAGCGAAAACTGAACAAAACTAAACAGAATGAATAGAATCATGAAACCAAAGATAAAATATCTAGAAGAAAATTCAACATCAACATGAATCCAATTCAAATCGAATCCAAGTTTGCTTTACAATAAGGCCAGTCCTGAGAAAATTATACACATTAAATCAATTACATTATAAAGCGTCCACAAATAATTGATCCCTAATATGGCTAGTCAAGGTTAAATTAGTCAGAAATCACCACAAGACAGGATTTTATTCTAAAGGTTCATAATATTATTCTTTGAGAACATGGGTTCCAAAACAGAGGAAGCCAGATTTTAGATTTTTCAGTTTTGTGAAGATCTGACCAAAAAGATCATAAAGTAATTTTGAACGCTCAAAACAGCATTGAGGTCATGTGATTTCTGCTAAATCATCAGCAAGCCACCTGAGAAGGCCATTACTAAGGTGTTTGTCACTTGAGCTTTCCGACCACAGAAGGGAGGGAAGCCAAAAGCAAGCTCATGCAGTGGGAAGAGATCCATACAGCTGAGGTACTATCGTTAACAGTCTCCAAAAGTCAGGGCTGGGAAAACTCATACTGCACTCGGAAATCAGTCAGGAGAAAGCTCGAGAGGCAGAAGGCCATGTGGATGTTAAGGAAGAAGACGTTCTGACAAGTTACTGAAGGCATACTGGAGGGAAGAGGTAAATGGGCAGGTGTTGCTGTGGAGGTGGGGGGTGAGGGATGTTGGGGGTGAAGGAAAATATTCCCCTCCCCTCCCTTGTCTGCCTTCCGCAGGGACTGCTCCCTCTGGGACACCCTGGTCCACTCTTCCTTGACCCCCAACACCCTCCAAACAGCCCCACAGCACCTTCCCCTGTAACCGGCGAAGGTGCAACACCTGCCCATTTACCTTCTCCCTCCCCAATATCCAAGGGCCCGAACATACCTTCCAGGTGAAGCAACACTTAACCTGCACTTCTCACAATCTAGTCTACTGCATTTGCTGCTCACAAAGTGGTCTCCTCCACATTGAAGAAACGAAGCGTAGACTGGGTGACTGCTTCACAAAATATCGACATTATGCTTGCAAAAAAGACCCTGTGCTACCTGTTGCCTGCCACTTTAACACACCACCCTGTTCCCTGGCCAACATCTGTGTGTCCGGCCTGCTGCAGTGTTCAAGCGAAGCTCAATGCAAGCTGGAAGAACAATAGAGATAGTAGGAACTGCCGATGCTGGAGTTTGAGATAACAAGGCGTACAGCCAGATGAACACAGCTGGCCAGGCAGCATCACAGGAGCAGGAAAGCTGACGTTTCGGGTCTAGACCCTTCTTCAGAAATGCTGAAGAAGGGTCCAGAACCGAAACGTCAGCTTTTCTGCTCCTTTGATACTGCCTGGCCTGCTGTGTTCATCCGGCTCTACACCTTGTTATCTGGAAGAACAATACCTCATTTTCCACTTGGGGCCCCTGCAGCCCTTCAGACTCAATAGCAAGTTTAATAATTTTTTGGCCTGAACTTTCACATGTCCAAATCCACTACTCCACACACCAGGCTTTGTTGTCACACAGCCTGCCATTACACACTACCTATTGTTAGTCACTAACAGTCCCCATTAACAACTGTTCACCCTTCCAGCCAGATCGTTATCAGCTCCTTTGTCTATCCGACTGCTCTTCTCTGTCTCTGGGCTCTAGCCTATCGTTTACTCCTTACTCCATCCCCCTCCCTATTTTCCCAGCTACCATCAGGTCTGAGGAAGGGTCATCAGACCCGAAACGTTAACTCTGATTGTTTCTTCATAATGCTGCCAGACCTGCTGAGCTTCCAGCAACTTCTGCTTTTGTTCCCGATTTACAGCACCCCCAACTCTTTCGGTTTTTACTGAAGGCATACGTTTAGGGAACCCATGTTAAACAACAGCAGTTTGTCTGAAAGGTCTCAAGAAGAGAAACTGACTGATGTAAATGGAATTTTGTGAACAAAACGGCAATTTGGCAAAAGCAAGCCAATTACAGGCTATTCCAGCTGAGCACAAAGCTTTAGTGTAGAGATAGGTGTATTGCCGGGAAAAGGAGGATCAATCTTAGTGTCTGATGTTTGTAATTAAACAGTTACAGCTGTTCTTGTATAACGTAATATAATTCACATTTTTCTTATTTAATAAACTTTTTTAATTAAAGGCACACTGACAACGTTTTGGTCTGGGATCAGGACAACATCAAATGGAGAAATTGTGGTTAAGCTCAATATTGAATGATAACAGTGGTTTCCAAGGTCAAGAGCTTCCCTATCAGTCAGTTGTAGATATCTTACTCCATTTTCACTGATATCTAATATAAGGATGTGCAATAAAAGATTCAGAATGCTTGAGTTCATTTTGTTACTCAGTATGTTAAATCCATTATACACAATATCTCACTTAATTGCTAAAAAAAAGGGGAATACAAGGTACCCTTTGAAATTTGGTATTCTTTCATCGTCCTGAGTGCAAAAGAAAAACTTCAACAACGTCTTTTTTTTAAAGCATTACATTATGTTGACATTTCAAGATCCAAGTATTGTTTAAATTCTGTTATAAACTTAACAATATCGAATTCCATGCCACTTTGGACCATTTATTATCCTGCTGTATCTGGTTTATATTAACAACTCGTCCACTGTCATGCAGGTGCTTTGGTGACTGCATCCAGGCGGGTCTTTTGTTTCCTTGAATGCAACTTTCAAACCAATACAAACATGTGATGGTTTTCACAGAACATTGCACTGCAAATGGAATCAGTTTCATTCTATGAAATTAGGGAGCTGCAGGTAGTATGAGCTAAGCTTATTTTACCTGGAATCCAGAGATGTAGCTCATTCAGAACTCCAACCAAGTTTTACTTTTAATACTGTCCAATTGTTTCATCACCTGATTACTGATCTAATTTAGTAAGAATTTTATAATCTGTTCATAGTGGACGATGATGTTACATCCATTGTAATATATAAATGTGCAAGTCAGATCAATTACTGTTGCTACACTCCCATAGTTGCCATGAATGTCCACACAAGTGAATTAACTTATCGAATCTGCGAGTTTCATTCTTTGAACAACATGCAATCACCACATATGACCCCACTTACTCATACACATCTCCTTCA